ACATCATTAGCAAACAATCAATGGCTTATTATTGATAGTCAACAAAATCAATTATTATTTATTAATGAAGATAATAAAATAGAAAAAAGACAAAATAAAGATAGTTCACCATTGAATGCTGGTCGATTAGCAAATGATTATATTGTTGTTAAATGTCAAAAACCTAATAAACTTCAAATATTTAAATTGGATTGAACAAAAAGAAAACTTATTATATTCCGCTTTGTAAAAAAAAAAAGAGATTGATATTTAGAATTTAACTTTTGATTTTATTCAAAACAATTAGCTGGTATAGAATAAATATATGGACAAATAGAAAAAAAAAAACAATTATATAGTTTATTTTGAATGTTCAATTTGAATCTGTCGATCTTTCGGTTCAATTTTAGGTAATGGTGCTTCAATTGTAAGAATACCATTCTCTGCAAATGTTGATTTTAAATCTTCAAGTTTAAGTTCTTCAGGTAATGTATAAGTTTGATTAAATTCATGAAGTGAATAACTATTACCATCCTAAAATAAAAGAATATATAAAAATTTTAAGAAAATTAATTTATATAATTAATTAGTTTAATTTATACTTTTTTTTCTTTCTTAGCTGAAACAATTAATGATCCTTTTTGTGTTTTAATTTTTACTTCTTCAGGTTCAAAACCATGCATATTAAATGCAAGTTGAAATTTTCTTGAACCATCTGATTCAGTAACAATCATATCATTTTCTAAAAACAAAATATGATTATTTAATCGTAAAAAAAAAACAGGAGAAATATTTTGTCATTCATACCACCACGTGAATAATTGGTTAATGATCGACTATCATCGGCAGTATTACCCCGAAAATAATTATCAAATTGTCGTTGCATACGGTCAAATTCTCGTTCTAAATCTCGAAAAACACTTGACGCTGTACCACGAAATACATCAGGTAAATTGCCTGGATTTCGATAAAAAAAATGACGTATTGGTGTACCTATGTTGCCTATTGTTGATAGGCGACAAAGAGTAGTTGGTACAAGAACACGGGAGATAATACGAGTTGAAGCCATCACTAAATGTTTGTTTGTTTGAAGACCAGCTAGAAATGAACGAAAAAACAATCAAAATAAGACGAATTTATATACTCTCGATTAATCATGGTTCCAGAATAATCTAGAATTTTTCCTAACATTCGAGTATATTGGAGATAGTTCATTGATGATGGCACTTTACTATTGTATTATAGTAAAGTTTAGAGAAAAGAAAAAGAAATCTAGTAGGCCAATGTAGAACATGTGAATTAAATGTCGCTCTATTACGGTGCATATTGCATCAGACTTGACTAATGTTATATGATGCAATGCAAGTATAAAAAAAGAAAGTTCGCAATTGATCGAGAAAGAAAAAAAAAGAGGTCACTCTATTTTTTTCTAAGTACGTATTTTGTGACCTTTGCTATTTGAATTTAATAATATATTGATTTTGTTTTCGAGTCTGATTCCTATATTTCTCATTCAAGTGTCTTATTAAAATAAAGAAAAAAAAAATATATAGAAAATTTATTTGAAATAACTACAAAGGTTTTTAAGTATAAAAATGATTTTTGTAATTTAATTATCAACAGTAATACATAATTTTTAAGCGTTTGGTTTTATATGTTTAACAGAAACTTTTGTAAAATTTTGCTTTTTATCTTTTTTTCGTCCATGTTTTCTTCCATGTTTTGGCACATCGACAATTTCTTCTATTGATGATGATCTTACTCGTTGAATAATTTCATCACTAACTTCATTTTGAGGTTTTTGAACAATACGATGTGATCGTTTTCTCTTAGTATCAACATCTTCTTCACTATTATCAACATGTTCAATACGATGTGGTTGTTCATCGTTACTATCAAGATTTTCAATATGATGTGACTGTTCATCACTACTGTCAAGATCTTCAATACGATGTGTTCGTTGTTCTTCAACATGAGCCTGTTCATTACGAGGTTTTGGTTGTACAACAATATTTTGTTTTTGTGCTTCTCGAATAGTATTTGTTCGGTGTTGTTTTTTTGTTGTTTCGACAACATCAGTAACAGATGTTTGGTCATCGGGCATATGAATTATTCGTTGTTGAACTGGTGGAGGTGAAATTGCTGCTGTTGCTGTTGCTGCTGCTGCTGGAGCAACAGCTTGATAAATAACTTTTGGAGTTTCAAGTATTTCTTCAATTTCATGTTCTAATACTTGAACATTTTGAGAAATCATTTTTGGTCGAACCACGGGACGATGTGACATACCACCATAAGCATTTATTGCTGGCCATACACCACGATTAAAATCTTTTGGACGTAATAGAGATATTGTTGTTTCTGTATTTGTTTGTTTATCATGAACTTTAAAAGATAATTTAGGTATTGAATTTGGTGTTGATACATCTTGAAGTATACCAGATCGAATTGATGATGCATCGTTTGTAGGATTAAATTTATAAGTTTGCGAAGCATTTCTTTGTCTAATGCCTGATACTGGTGGTGAATCGATTGGCTCAATATCATCATCTGAATTAAGCATATAACCATGTTTATAACAACAAATAAATATAAGTACTGTCGCAATTATTGTTGTTAACATTATAGAACAAATAACCATGCCTAAAATTTTCCATTGACTATTCGTTTCACTATCTAAAACAAATCTTAAGATTTTGATTAATAAATATTAAAAAAAAAGAAAAGACATTCTTTTTAACCTCGAGTATATAAAGCAAGCGATGCAATAAGACCAGCTATAGATCCAAGAGCAAGTAATATCATAGATCCAAATAAAAGTCCACCACTTAAACGTGTTAATCCTAAACATAATGGTTGAGAAAGCCATTGACCCTTAAAAATAAAATTTTCTCTTTAAATTAGAAATAGATTAATATCAATACCGATTTGCCTTTCGGTTGTTTTTCATCATCATCATCGTCATCTATTTCACTTTGAAATGCTTCATTTCCAGCATTGTTAGATCGATTTTTGGCTTCTTTCCATACAAATCATATCATATTTGTTTGAATATTGAAATGAATTCAATTTAAAAGTTAATAAACTTACCAGGATGATCATTATTTTGATTTGAAAATGCATATGGTCGATTATTATAATTTGTATTAGCTGTGGATTGATGTTTTGGATTTTTATTATTTGTTTTTGATAGATCAATATATTTTTGTGCTTGCTGTTGTTGTTGTTCTTGTTGTAATGCATAAGAATTTGTTATTAATGGATTTGCTGATACTACTGATGATGGACTTATATAATCTTTAAGAAAAAACAAAATTAAATGATTTAATTTAATATATTCGTATTTAAAATGATATACAATTATTTGGAAATGTTTGATTAACTGATTGTATATCAGGAACTTGTGATGATGGAATCTTCTTCTTTTTTTTGGAGGATTCATCATAGGATACTGTAGGAGGTTCATATTGTGATATCATTGGATTTGGTTGTGATTTTTTTGAATTTCCAATAATCGTTGGCATTGGTTGTTTTTGCTGTTATTAAGGTGAATATACCAATATCTTACCTGATCGTATTCCTTTGCGAAAAAAAAAAGAAAAAATATAGATAAAATATTTATATGATTATTGAATTACCTAATATCAATGAACTTGATTCAACAGTAGGTGCACTTAATTGGGGAATACAGTTAAATAAGTGTTGTTTGAAGATTTCTGGTTTTTCTTTTTCTTCTTTAATGATTTTACAGATTTTGCATGTACAACAAATATTATTGGATCTGGTGATGGTATCTGAAAAAAGATTGTAATGAAATTTTCTTTCGAAATATTTATTTTGAAAGAAAAAATTTTTTTTTATACGGTTCCATTAATTCTATCCAATTCTTCATGGGAAAAGAAAAATATATTTTTATTTAACATTTAATGGGATAAGCCATCGTAAGATTATTCGAATCCAGAAATTCTGCACTAAATGTGATTAGTCATATGTATTCTGTAAGAAGTGTTACATAGGGCATATTTTCGCTTCTATCGACTTGAAAAGAAAGATGAAAACTGATTGCTTTTTTTTTTTCAATCAAAAATTAGACGGATGAATGAAGCGCATAAAATGTTTTTGATTTTTTTTTTCAAAAAAAGAATTGATTATGTTTTTTCTTTGAAATTAAGTTTAATAAGCTCATTTGAAATCAAAATCTACTTATTCAGATCGGATTTTGTTTTGATGATGAAAAAATTACAAAACAAAAAGTGTTAATAAATTTCTAACATACAAGATCTAGTTGAAATTGATTGTCAATTTGATTGTTTTTGTTAAGTTCTTTAATAGGATCGACTATTGTTGATAGTTCTTATACAAATGTTGTTGTACGTATTGATATAGATTGTTTTTTGTTTTCGAAAATCAATTGTATGACTATCTAATTCTTTGTAATATTCCTATGCTTGACGAATATCAGCTATAAATGATGATGATGAAGAAGAACTTGATCAATCGTCATACATTTCTATTCAAACAATATTAACATCACCAGACTTATTTTATATAACAAAAAAAAAAAGACTGAAGAAATGAAATAAAGCTACGGATGCATTTCATTATGATACTATAAGTTTTCTTTTTGCAAGAATAAAATTAAAAAAGAGGACATATTATTAGCAAAAAAATAACAGTAAACAATCGAGAAGAATTCTAAAGCAAATACCGAAAAAAAAAATGTGAATTGTTTTTTTACTGAAATTCAATTTAAAAATTTTTTTGCATACACCCATTGTTTATAGATATAAATATATGTTGGTTAGTCACAATAATTGAGTAAAATATTCTTCTTTATTTTTTACTTCATTCATTGAGCAATTCGAGTAAAACAAAATAAAAAAAAAACAAAGGATAATCTATTTTTATGAGAACCTATGACTCTACGTTTTATTTCATGAACAAATTTTCAAAGGAAAAAAAAAATTAGAAGAAAACAAACAAAAACAAGGAAATGTTCTTAATGCAAGATTTTTCTTCTGTTATTATTTTTTGCCAGCTTCGACAACAACAGGTGGATAATTGCAAACACTTATTTTAGGATCGAAAATAGTTCCAGGAGCACATCTACGAATCCAGAAAACACCAGTTTGATCACATTGAATAAATCGTGATGCATCAGGATAATAAGGAAAATAGTATCGACCGTAGATACCACATGGATTTGGGACTAAAATTATGAAAAGAATTATATAATCTTTCGTATTCATTCATAAATTAGAATAATTATTAGATTATAATAAAAAATCATTGTTCACTCCGTATTGACATAGATACCATTCATTTTTAATTATATTCAAAAACAAAAAAACTTTCTTCATCATTTATATCGATCTATTTTAATAGATTTCTAATAATGATAAACAAATTATCTATATTTTAAATAAAGAACATTTTTTGTAGTGAACTTCATGAGCTATTAATCGGTAAAAAGAATATGTCTTTTTTTTATTGCTCTATCTTCGAAATATTGGGTCTACAAAATCGATAATTTTGAAAAAATGAAAAAATTCGAATTTTTCGAAACAAAATGTTCTCTACTTACATTCAATCGAGATCTTTCGAAATTTCTCTATGATATAAATTAATGAATAAGATCACTAGTGAGTTAAATATATTTCGAAAGCTTCATAATAAAAGTCATACAATTGACCATGAAGTTATTGTTGGACAGGTGAAGAGCAATCAAGAACAAAGTTAATCTATATATTATAAACCTCAAATTAATGAGAAGTTGAAATTGTATTTATTATGAATTAAATATTCTTAGAGATTATAGAATAGCTCAAAGCAAAGTAGATGTTTATTTGACAAGATGTATCAAAAAAAAAAAAAAGTATTCTTTTCATATTAATTTTTATTAATTCACTATCACATTTTTTTTCTATTACTACAATAACATTGAATTGATGTTGCTTTTGTTCACTTAATAATGTGATCAAAGAAAGAAAAATTGAAGGATTAGTATGTTATGATACTAAGCGGATCAGACTACATGATTAACATATTAGGTAGGCTAATACTTTATTTATACAGTTATTTTATTCGTGTGTCTTCAGGAACCACTATGAGAAGTAATAGGTTAATTCAGAATCTTTTTATATCAATTTGAATGAATACATAAAAAGATTATGTTTGATTCTGATGAATAAAAATATGAAATTTTCAACAATATTTAAAAGTTATATATTATATAATACAAATTATATTTTAATATCGATATTTTCACGAAATGTCACACAATGAAAATCTTTAAAAACTTGAAACAATAAAAAAAAATAGGAAAAGATTTTATTTCATTTCTAAATTTATTTTTATCTATTCGATTTAATATTATTTTCTTCTCTACCTACAGAAGTTCTTTCTTTAGTAGCTTATTGAGAAATTAGTTTTTAAATACTATTTTAAAGATATAACTGATCTTGATCAACATTCAAAAGTATCGTTATCAGTTATTATTGTTAATAGTAAAAAGAAAGAAAAACAACAAATTATAATCTCAATAAAATAATTAAGATTATAATTTTAACTTCAATAATTTAAAATTGAATAATAAAAAACAAATAAGTAACTTACTTCCAGCACAACCATTTGCACCACATGCACATTGCCATTGACCTGAAAGTTGTGAACAAGTACCACCACGTGGACAAAAACCTACTGGACATTCATTATTAGTACTGCTACCAGTCGATTGAGCACCAACACCAGCAAGTGGTACTGTTGGATCAAATTGACCACTGGCTGCAGAAGACCATACATAAGGAAAATTGAACCAGTTGACATTTTGATATGGATATGGGTAATAGTAACCTAAACAAAAGAATGAAAATTTTTCATTTGAAATTACTTTAATCTGACCTCGATTATCTGTATAACCAGGATTTTGTTGTTGTTGTTGTTGTTGTTGTGTTTCAGGTAGACGGTTTTGTTGGGTTGATTGTTGTTGCTGTTGTGGTTCAGGCAGTTGATTCTGTTGGTTTGGTTGCTGTTGCGGTGGTGGTTGTGGTTCAGGCGATTGGTTCTGTTGGATTGGGTGTTGTTGTCCTTGTGATTCAGCCAGCTGGTGGTGTTGGATCGGTTGCTTAAAATGATGTTGTTGTTGTGGTGGTTGTTGTTGATGTTCTAAAAACTGTTGTTGGTTGAATTGTTGTTGTTGTCCTAGAAACTGCGGTTGATAAAATGTTTGCTGCTGCGCTGGAAGCTGAGTTTGATAATATTGTTGTTGTTGTTGTTGTTGTTGTTGTTGTTGTTGTTCTGGAAGCTGCGGTTGATAAAATTGTTGTTGTTGCTGTTGTTGTTGTTGTTCTGGAAGCTGCGGTTGATAAAATTGTTGTTGTTGTTGTTGTTGTTGTTGTTGTTGTTGTTGTTGTTGTTCTGGAAGCTGAGGTTGATAAAATTGTTGTTGTTGCGGTTGTTGTGTGGGAAGTTGAGGTTGATATAATTGTTGCTGTTGCTCTGGAAACTGGGGTTGATAAAATTGTTGCTGTTGCTCTTGAAATTGAGGTTGATAGAATTGTTGTTGCTCTGGAAACTGAGGTTGATAAAATTGTTGTGGTTGTTGTGTGGGAAGTTGAGGTTGATATAACTGTTGCTGTTGCTCTGGAAGCTGAGGTTGATAAAATTGTTGTTGTTGTTCTGAAAACGGAGGTTGATAGAACTGTTGTTGTTGTTGTTGTTCTGGAAAGTGAGGTCGATAGAGTTGTTGTTGTTGTTTTAATTGTTGTCGGAGTTGATAAAATGGTGTTAATCTTGGTTCATCATGAGCTACAAGCGCTTCGCTTAATGCTTCAATCATTCGATTTGTCAATACAGTATCTGTAAAATTGATAGGTGGTAGTGAATTAACACCAATGCTAGCAAATATCACAATCACAATGAATAACATTATAAAATCTTTTAGTATTGTTGTTAACGATGAAGATAATTCTATTGAGAAATTTCGAAATCAAACGATCATTTGAATTTGACATCGAATATTTATATGTGATTAACATTTTTTTTTTGTTGAACTTCGCCTTCTTAATCGAAGGTCTTCTTCCTTTTTCTTTCTCCTTTTTGTATCATCCTTTTCAATATATGAAGTCATGACTATGTCTTCTATATGTATGTCTATATATGTATGGATTACCAAACTCCAACAATGAGGAATGTTATGAAGTTTATAGATGAATATGAATGCACGTTCAAAACCGACCTACAATAAGGATTAACAAAGTAAACGAAGAAATGTACAAAAGAAGCAATGATATCATAAAAAATAGAGTAATACTGATAACCTTTGGTAATAACTGTGTACATATTTAGCTTTTCTATATCGAGAGGTCAACGACATTTTTTTTATATAAGTACAACAAAAAAGAAGCCTTTCAGGGACAATCTATAATCATGAAGAAAAGGTAAGTTAAGTACGATCATAATCAATTATGTAAATATGACAAGGGTACAATGAAATGCCAAGGTTAAAAAAAATGTATGTTTTGCAGCATAAGAAAATGAAAAAAATGATAAGAAGGTTAGCGGTATTATATTGAAAATTTAGCAAGTATTGCCATAGTTTTTATTATTAAACTGTAATATAAATTCAAAGTTATTTAAAAAGACAGCAAATTATTTATAAATAATTATTTATTATGAAACAACTTCGAATTAAAAATTTTCAAAAAAGAAAATATACACATAATTCAATGAAATAATTTTCATTTCTTTATCTTTTAATCAAATAATAATCGATTTTTATAAATGAAATTCATAAGAAGAAAACATAAAATAGATACAATTGTCATTGATTTTATTTTCGATCCAACACATGTTAATGGACTACCATCGCTTGTTTGCATATTAATCATACAATATTCATTATTTTTAAATTGACAGAAGAGTTTCGCTTGTCCACCATAATACAGTCCAGAACATAATTGATTGTTACTGAGAATAAAATGAAGAGTACCATCTCGATAACATACACCTCGAGTTTGTTGTTTTTGATAGTGAATAGTAATCGATGTAAATGGCCAATGATGACTAAATAAATAAGGTCCATGTGGCATATATAACAATGGTGATGAACATTTGATTGTATATAAATAATGTACGCCAGTCAAATCCGTAACACATATAGGAATAATAATAGAAAAGATCAGTAAAACTAGTAATCTGATGTTTTTGTCCATTGAAATTAAAATATATGTATGTCATTACAAAACATCTTATAAGATTTAGACATTTGAGACATTGAAAAAACATTTGACTTCTTTACATTGAAATAGAAGACGCAAGAAATGTGATACTTTGACGTTTTTGTTCGCCAACAGAAAATTTACATTATTATACAGGCAACGTATTTTAATTTCAAAAGAATGAAAAATAAAATAATGGATATTGTCTATATAAGATACATTTATTCTCATTAGTCAGTCACGCTTTATATTAGTAAGAATGATTACATTTGAAATGATATGAAATCAATAAATTTATGATATTCTTAAGAAAATCGATACATTCACTTGTTTCTAAAGATTTTCTAATTTTTCCATTTTCAATATTTCAACAAATTTTGAATTTTGAGATCAATCGTTTTGATTAACATATATGAGTGATTCTTATGTAAGTACAATATATGCCTATCGAATAAATGAAATCAATACATATTCTGACATAAGAAAAATTCAAAACGATATATCTTTATCCTATTCTTATTAAAAAAATTCAGATACTATATCAAATCTTTTCTTTGAATAGATGTTACATAGTGTTGTTAACAAAAAAAACTATGTCTCACAATAAAACAAAGATACTCATGTTGATTCATAGCAAGATATAAGTTATGACGAGATTTCATATATCATTTAAAATTAACCTCAAGAGAAGCGTTATTAATTAACATCAAGCTTTGAAATAACGCGTATCATTGTTTGAATTATTGATAAAGGTTGTAGAATTATTGTGTCGAATTCTTATAATTAAACTTTTATTGAGTGATGCCTTGTTTTATTTATAATATATAGAACTCGTATCTAAATTCATTAATGTGTTAAGACTTTTTCTCAGTTGTCTTATTTATTACCTATTATCATTTGATATTTATATTATTCTGCGTCAATATAATGTGACCTATGGTGTGAAAGTCTTACCACAAAATATTTGTTCATTTTCTAACTACTTATTAGGACTTGTTTAGTGTCCAAAACAAAGGTGTGTTTTTTCTGAGAATTACTTTCAATCTAAAATGATCTACTATTAAAAATCAATTTTTTCTTTCAATCCATCTTTCTAGACGAAATAGATTTCATGCCTTGACTTTCAGATATAAAAAAAAAGTAAGGGGATACGATATTTTAGTTAGAAAATGAACAAACACTTTTTGTGAAGATTTCCTCTGCATCATACGTTAGATTTAATTGTACAAAGAAGTTTTTTTCTAAATTGTATTATAATATATCTAAATGTTTAAAAGAAGATTGAATCATTCATTTTTGTGGCATCTAATTATGTAGATTAGATTTTAATTCCATAGAATTGTTCTTAATGTAAAACCACCGATATGTTATATTCTTCAAAGGCATACAAGTATCATCAATGTAATTCTTGTTTTGAATTTAACATGGAAGTACTGAACAAAACAGTAAAATTTTGTGAATCTCTTCTTTACATACTATAATTTCTAATATCAAATTGTTGATGGGATAGTATGTTTTTATTCAAGCTTTTCATTAGAGTTCATCGTTGATTTCTTTTATTATGAATAATATCGCATTCTTATGATCGAGTATTGTTTTAAATACGTGCTGATTCTATAGATTTGAAATGGCAATAAGTTTTTTAACCGGTAGTTTTACTGGATAAGATAAAAAATTTGTAATTCTATTTCTGTTGGATTTTTTTGTCACATGATACTTTTTCTTAAAATAATTGAGATAAACAATTCTTGTCTTAAATATTTATTCCATTTCATATTGTCTATTGTCTACTTGATATATAATCATATTAATACAGATTCTTATTCAAAATTTGGACACAATCTGTATATGTGATCAATGGTAATAACATCAGTGTTTTGTTATGGTCAAAATACGAACATGTATAACGAGTAATTCTCTAACAGCGTTAAAATTTATAAAACATGTCGAAGAAAAATTGATCTCAAAAAGATTTACAATTTCGTCCAAATAACTCTATATTTTAAGTATCAATCATAGGTTTTTGTGTACTCAAAAGGTGAGCACACTCTAGAATCGGTCAGTGTGTCCCGCCGTTTACACAATAACTTTTGAAAGGAGAGTCCGATCTTGATGAAATTTTGTACACAGTATCGTCTCATCAATATCTCGCTCAAGTTCAAAGATGAGAATGATTCGTCGAGCCATTACTGAGTTATTACAAGAAAAGTTATTATTCCCTATGTTTTTCTATGGGATTATTGACCTATCTCGGTTGTCGTAAAAGAACTTTTCTTCTCATAATCAGACAAAACCCCAGCTATTATATACCATTCGATAGAGAATTTCACGGGCTACAAAATGGTACATAAAACATTAAGAAACAACAAGGTTAAGTCACTTATTGCAAAGATACTTAAACGGAAATTAGTTCTGTGTTTGTCCACGCTCGTATTGATAGAAAATCAAAGCCCCATCTTCCGATCAACTCTGGAGTTTGATAAGAAAAGAACGAGAGGGAAGCAGACTTTTACCCATGGACGTACAAAATGTGTTGTCGAATCACTGTGTATTGGATTTTATAAATCTCTCAATGCTATTCAATTCTTTTGTTTCCTTCCATTATTTTAGTAAAAGATTATTCTTATTAATAAACTATCAGAAATTCCCTTAAGACTTGATATGCTGGTTTTCTAGGCTAACAAATATTTTGCAAAAATTGTTTGTGATCTATTCAGAGTATAGAACGTGTCAAGATGTACCTAACTCAATAATCTTTTTGCTTTTCCAAATATGCATTTTAAGTAAAATAATATCATCTTAAAGATTGCTACAGTGAACCTTTGATATATATATCTATGATGTGCATTAAAACGGCTGTATTTTCTGCAAAAAAAACGATTTCAAACAGAAAAATTTATTGCTTTCTAAGCAATTTAATATGCTCTATAATCTGAATAGATTAAAATTTTTCTTGGATGAAAAGTTTGTTAGTCTGAAAAACTAGCATACAAAGACCTAAGAGAATTTCTTATGATTATCAACATGGTCAATAACGTACAATCCACTAATTTTTGATGAAAAAGTCATTAGTCAAATATCATTGATTCAATAAAAATAAAAAATAAATAGAAAATTCTTTTTAGTTGTTTATTTTCTATCTATAATTTAAAAACAACAGTAGGTGTATGTTTTGATTTCTTCGTTTTTCTTCTTTTTTACTTAAATAATTTTTTTAATGCATGCATCAACTAGAATAAAAGAAGAGATAGATAAAAAAAAACGACAAACAATAGGACAGGTCTATCACAAATAAAATATCGGACCGACCAAAAAAAAGAAAAAAAAAAAACAAGGAAATAAAATAAATCATCGCGCATAACAAAAGAATAACTCAGAAAGTAAATAGTGATGGACTGTTCACACGCACACGCACACACACAGTTAAGAAAGAAATAAATTAAGACAAAATGTTATCGTTGCTTGGATCCTATTCCACACATGTACATAAAAAAAAAAAAACTTATCTTTACTTTTTGTAAACGAACGATAAAATTAAATGTGTTCCATATGGCTTTTTTCAAAATATGTACATATCGTTGTTTTAGTTTCTTGTTTGTTTTTTTTTTTGTAAATTAATTTTTCTTTTTACGACGTAATTGAAGTCGTTTAGCAATTGATCGTTGTCGTTTTTGTTGATAAGTAAGGGTATTAGTATTATTATTTGTAT